CTCCAACTGAAACGTTAACACCAACACCAATAGCTTGGGATACAGCAAGTCCAACTCTATCGACTCCGGAACCAACTTCAAATCCTAATTCATCAACATCTCCAACTGAAACGTTAACACCTACACCAATAGCTTGGGGTACAACTAGTCCAACTCCAACACCATCGCAAACTCCATCGACTCCGGAACCAACCTCAAATCCTAATTCACCACTGACCCCTGCTCAAACGATAACACCAACACCAATAGATTGGGATACAACAACACAAGCTCAGACAACGATAGCCACAACTGACGGTACCTTCACAATACCTGGACCCACACAAGACACTCCTGATTGTGATCCATTGTGTTGTAATGTAAAAGATGGTTCCAACAGTATTTTGGAGGGAAATTGTCAAAAATTCGTGGTTTGTGTTGGTGGAAAGGAAAATGTTTTTACTTGCTCCAATAATTTGCTGTTTAATTCCGTAACTGGCGAATGCGATTATCCAGGAAATGTAAATTGTCCCTGGCCTCAAGATCCACCAAGTGGTCCGTCGGCGGGACCATCTGGAACTCATTGTGCAACTGGAGGTCGGTGCGTTGGCCAGCAGGACGGCACCTCTTTTGCTATCAAAACTGATGCTTGCAGCACAGACTATATTGTGTGCCAGTGTGAGTGTGAAGTGCAGCGTAGTTGCCCATCACTATTAATGTTCAACTATAATTTGGGGGTCTGTGATTGGCCAACGAGTTTCGGATGCTAACATATTTAAATTCTTTTACTACCATACCGAAGGATGTTAACTGAATATTATTGTCTTACGTTATATTATGTCTAAAAGGCAATGCCCTTTGATACCTTATATAAACATAGCATATTTAAATTAAAATTTTCCTCTCAAACTTTTCCAAGATCTTTAGATACCGCATTTTTAGTCTAAATAAAAATGTACATATTTATATGACTTCTTACCCATTAGGAGAGCGTTAATATGGAAGATGGTTATATGAACTAATTTGATCTGAATATTAAACTTTTTGAACTGTTCAAAGCCGATTGGGTATCTTCAGCTATATTTATCACTTAACAAGGAAATCGGTTTTTCTAACTAAAATTATAAGTATGTATGCATGTATATACTTAAATATATCTATCAATTTGAAATTAAAGGAAACTGTATTTGTTACAAAATGCTGGGTCCTTCATTATTACATGATACAACTGTGTACTTACTGTGTACTTACTTAAAGCTGCTAACGGGCATGTAGAACAAATCAGTAATATGTGGGTTATGCAAGGAGAATTATGAGGCTTTAAAGAGAAATTAGCTTTAGAGTTTTAACTCGATTGAGTCAGCGTAAAAATAACAACAAAAAATATTAACGAAAACAATCAAATAGTGGTCAGGTGTTTTATTTACTGTACCAAATAATACCAATTGTTCCCAATATTACTGAAGCTTTTCGAATATATTACGTAATGTTCAAGTATAAACTATTTTAAGTAATGCTACGTAATACGTAGTGTCTCTGGTAGGTAGAATCTGGGAAAATGCTCCTCGGTCGCGTTATTCTAGCAGCTTATGATTACATTAATTTAAATTTTTCATAAAATGTTCATTTTCATAATACATGGCTATTTCGATAACATAATGATAATGGCAAATAGTAGTTTAAACGCTCCGACCTAGATAACACAATATATTCTTCACCAATCGTGTGATTGGCATTTCGCAATGGAGGGCCATTCGCAACGCCCATTTCTTACACTGAAATGATGTCCCTCCGGACATATCAACACCAAAGCTTGGTGATTCATACAGAAAATAAAGCGGTTACAGTCATATTGGAAAGGGAACAAAGTACCGTTTGGGCTCATTATGCATATGGTGTCAATTTTCGTACTATCGGTATTGCCTAGATTATCTAAATTAGCTATGTCGTATTTTTTTGAATTAGTTGCTACTGTATTAATTAGTTCGATTTCCTTCTTAGTTGATTTTTTCGATTGTATACTGCATTTGGCCATTGTGGGGTCTTGACATAATTCTCTTGTTGCGTTAAAATGAAGCATTGGGGGACAGGTACGACGATAGGGCCTGCCCAATATACACACGTAGTATTGTGAGCAAGAATCTGGTTTTGGTAACAGCGTACCGGTCGGCAAGTTTTTGCAAATCGAACCGATACTCAGATCCGCAACAACTTCGGCAGGTGTTTTCGGTTTAGGTAAAGATGAACGAGTACCTTGTTTCTTTTCATTCGTTGTGGATGTAATATTTTTGATTTGTGACAAATCAACTTGACAATTAGCTTTTAACGGATGATCACATAGTCCGGTTTGTGTATTGAAATGATAAAAGCTGCCACACGAGCTGGCTATAGCATTCCCATCGACGCAAATAAAGAAACCTGTACAGGAACCCGGCATGRGTATAGTGACACCATTGCGATTGCTGCAGATATACGGGAAGCCCGCATCAGTTCGTTGCTGCAAAAAATATATATACATACATACATATATTATATATTTGCACACATGCAGGCAGCAACTCATAACTTACATCAAGTTTCCGAGACAAAACGGAGTTTTGCAAAAATGCAAAACTTAACAAAACACCTAATAAATACCACATGTTTTCTCCCAAATAAATGTTGATTATCGAAATTCCTGAAGAGTCAAATTTTTATATAACGCGACTTTTAATATTCAAATACGAATCATCAATTGAGCTGTGTAAAATACTTTCCAATCTTTATAAACATTCTTAGTTTCTTATCATAATGCTAAAGTTGGAAATATTTGCATACACTATACTCATATCAAAACATTAAATGACACACTGCTACATCGTTCCTTTCTGAAATCTTGATATAAATTTGCGTTATAACGTCTTACATATTCGTTCAAATATAAATGCATAACATATGCATGTATATGTTTCCTTATAAGTCATATGTATCCGTAAATACGTACATATTGTATGTATGTATTTTTTTACTTATAAAATTTAGCAAAGAATGTGTTGGGAATATAGCAACAAATTATAATACTCATCATAGGGGAACTTACATATTTATAAGCTACGTCGTAACCATAAATCGTATGAGGTTGAGGGGGTGTTTAACATCTGGTCGTTTGATAGTTCGTATCCAACTTGTGGTGTCTAGAATAATAAAAACAAACCAAGTCAAAGTTCTGACTACAGTTCCATGTATATTCGGTTGGAAGTGAAGTAGCTGATTCGTTGCCATATTCACATCTAGGTCCTTGTTTTGAAGGATAAAATCAAAATGTATATTTAAGGAAAAAAAAAAACTCGCCCAAAAAATATCATAGAAAAAATATTTTCAAATAACTGTATGTAAGAGAATTTATGTATGTAAGAGTATAAGTGTATATGCTGAGTAATTTAAAGCAATCAAGCATTGTTTACAAATAATCTGATAGTAGCGATAAATTTACAACCAAAACAACATATTTGCGAATGATTACTTTTCCATATATTGCTGATATTGGGATGTTGTGTACGTGCTTTTAATAGGGGACGAAAACGCAAAATATCAATATACCCGGAACGTCGTACTAATATTTCGAGGTTTACTTGTTCTACGTATTGCCAGATGATTTTATTGAATTCACATCGGCATTCTATGGAATGCAGACGTAGATGATGTTCGAACTTGTCTACATTCTGTATAAGGACTTTATTATGCACAAGAGAGTCTTTCTGCAGTGTTAGGCTATTATCTACTATTTCTAAAAACACTTTAAATCAATTCTTCTTAAGCATTTAATTACATTTTTTCTATCGATTTCGTTCTTTCATCTAATTCAAAGGTGGAGGATATAGTCCTGTTCTTGGGCAACACAATACTAATTGAATCGCATATTTTGAAATGTGATGATTCACTTTTTCCTATCTGTGAGTGTTTCAGAGTGGTTAAAAAAGGGAGTAGGAAATTAGGAATAGCATATGAGGATCATGAATCCAGATATTGCTTCATTCTACTTACGTTTTATTTATGACGCCAACTAACATCGGATACCCGTATCACACTTTACACGCACACTGAACATTTTTAATTATATCGATACAGATACATAAAGGCTGAATGCGGATAACCTTCTATAAGGTAAAATTTTCCATGATTAGTCGTATAAATTTCCCAATATTACGTTGTGCATGTCGGAAACAATTAGACAAAAGTGTTATTACCAAAAATATCGATGACTCAGCTCATGTTACGTATACATAGATAAAGATGAAGAAGAATATTTATTAAAATATGCATTTATACACAAGAAAGAAAAGAATGCAGGGCCTCAAACATATTTAGGAATAATCTTATTTGCAGTAACGATCACAAGCCATTACTTCTGAGTTCCAGAAAAGACCGTTCCCACAGGTTTGGACCGTTGCAAAGCCATCGCATTGTATAAATTTATGACAGTCAAAAGGATGTCTCACGTAATCAACTCCGGGGGTATTGCATAAATGTAAGAAATTGGTTTTATCAGTGTCATATTCCGGATTATATGAAGGTGGCCCTCGATCCTCTTGTGCTGCTGTTGGAGGAGTTGCAGCGGTCGCTATGAAATTATCAATATATGGTGGAAGTGTCCATATCTGTGGCGAATTTTTGCAGTCCCCATTTTGTGGTAAATCGCATCGCTCTAGCAAAGAATTCCAATACATGTACGAAGGACAACGCATTGAGATGCACTTATAGAACTTGTTGCAGTCTGCAGAGTCTGATGTGAAAAAGGATTTTTCCAATGTGGGATATGCGCTGCTTTCGGTTGGATTCGTTGGATATATCGATTCGGGAATGCTAGTGGAACATTTTGTAACTGAGGGAAAATCACAGCGATATGTCAGAATATTCCATTGAAGTCCATTCCCACAAACCATTGCGTAAGCATATCTATTTTTGCAAGTGTAGTACTTTCTGCAGTTGGTAGGGTGGGGCAATTGTACAGGATGCATTGGATCGTCAATCAATGGGCAATCGGGATGTTTTATCGGTTGTTCAATCTGAAATCCGATACAAAGTTATTATACAAATTTTGAACTAAATCTTATTAACTATATATGTATTAAAAAATAAGGAGTGTAATCAAGTACTTGACATCAACATAGTTTTTTTTAGTTCTTTCGATCACATACTTACCATGTCATTAAGAGCAACAGTTAATCCGATCCATAACCCAAAAAACGTCAGCAGCTGCATGTTTTACTGAAACACTGTACAAAATAATATTTTCTTGATTTACCAATTGCCTTAAAGTTCTTGGGTGTCGTCGCAAGTGATACTAATGATTATCTTATAATCCTCTGCATTTATATAAATGTGGCTGGCATATTAAATCGAAGGTTTCGATAATATTTCTTGTGGTATGTAAACACATACTTCAGTTTTGTTTAACCAATATAGGGAATGCATTGTGGAATATTTGTAACTGATAAACGATGAGAATAACATTGATGTATATAAATAACGTTGTTGCCTTTCACCCGTATATATCTATATATTGTATTCTAAGAAAACAGAAATCGTATATTTGTCATAGCTGTTAAAGACGAATCCGAGATTTGAAATAGGAACTTCAGAGCTTATTATTGCTCCATAATCATCAGAATAGAAATTAAAAGAATAAAGACAGAGGCTTATGTGCGTGTAATCAGAAGCAAATATTGAGTTCTTTGCTTTCAATGTTTCTCTCTAATAACTGGTGACTGTTGCTGGGAGAAGCCTATAAAGATAAGAGTTTCCCCACATTTAGCTTCGCCTTGCCGCGTTTCGTTTCGATGTGAACGTACTCACACAAGCGCATCGAGCTTTTCTATCAAACAAAATGTCTGACGCAAAGCGAAACAAAATTTCTATGTGTATCAGTCATAAGAATCGATACCGACGTCAAATATGTAGTCTGATACCGGCTCACATCGGTGGGACTCCAAATATTATATATGCAAATAAATTCCAAAACAAACGGCCACAAAAGATGTAGTTGTTATTTGAAAAAAACCGATTCAAAATTATTTTTTGCCAGTATTAAATGAACACTGTTATAATACCTTTCTGAAAAATTTCTCTCGGGTATAAAATCGGATCCAATTTTTTTTTCTTTACCCATCGCCTAAAATTATGCATAATAATATCTTTCGATATAAAATTCAACTGAAAGCAAGTTATTTCGTTCACTAATTTTATCTAGAATCTAAAAAAAAAATGTATCTTCTCAAACCTGACTTTTAACATTCTGCTTCTCAAATACCTGAGAACTTTCAGATTTTATGGAAAATCATGTTTTCAATCGACGTATCAAATGCATTGTGTACGCGTCACTATAATTTGGTGCATCGTGGTGTCAAATTTCGAATTAATATTATATATTATGTATTAATATAATAGAGTAATTTTTAACCTTATAACATATTTGTAATATGTATAGCAAAGAAGAAGCAAATATTTCGTCCATTGATTTTGTGTTATATGTAGATATTAAATTGAAACCTACTAAAGTAATGCAAGCAAAGTTTTTGACCAAACCCTGTTATAGTAATAGAGGTTACTTTCAATTGAGTAGTCAACAACACATAGGTTTTGGATATACTATATTGTACATAATTGTGTATAGTGTTTTTGCCAAATATTTTAAAGAAATGTGTTAGTAAAAGGGTATTATTAGTTTGAATATGTTCGGTCATATTTGAAAATATTTTTTTACTCATCAATTGTTATTGAAACATTATTATCTTATACAAAAATTAAAAATAAAATTACAAATGTACATGTATTTTAATGTCCCCCCTCTTAGACCACTTTTATAACCTTTCGGTTAGAAATCATAACATAATATGGTACAATACTTCCCTTATGGAAAGATCAGAGGTGAAATTCGTCGCTTTACCTTTACGTCTAATTGCGGATTCATCCCGGATTTTCAGCATGTGCTGCAGGATCACCTTTGATTATCACACATCTCTCTTTTTGTCTTGCAGTCAATAGTTGCATCTAGTTGAAGGTGTCAATGTCAATAGCAAACGTGAATGAGAATAATTCATTCATAATCACATCATGATAACGCTATCGATGCAATCAATGGCAATGAAGTAAAAACATCAATAACTTATAAAGGTGTGGCCTATTACGTTGGTATTCTACATGATGCACTCTCTGTTCATTTCTCTGAAAAATGCGAAAAAACTTAAAAATCAATTAAGAAACATTTGTATGAACATGATCTAGAATTAGATAAAATTTTAAACAAGTAAAATTACTGTAGTAACAAGTTGTAAATAAATTGTATTGAAGTGTCAATTCATAAACGAAATTTAGGTATAAAATGATCTAAAATTTAATAAAACGACGATAGAGTCTTATTTAAGCAAGTGATTCGGTATTGTTACAAGTACTTTTAAAAACTAGTGAGAGGACATTTAAAAATTGTAACTAAAAAACTTCACMAACTACACTTAGAATGAACGGTAAGTCAAACTACTGTTCCTTAATTTAACTATAATTTGTTAATATGAATGTTCACATGTATTCATACAATGCTAATAACAAATAAACTAATTTGAATCTCGTAGTTACTCTCACCGCTGTGGTTTTATTGACCACAGCTGCACTTTGTTATGCAGCTGATGCAGAGTGTAAGTACCGTAAGTCTCGTAAGTTGGCACTTCACTGGCCGGATCCTACCGATTGCACTCGCTACTATCGTTGTACGAATAGGAGTGTAAAGAGAGAAGTAGTTTGCGCCGTAGGCAAGGTATATAATTCGAAGACAGGAAAATGCTCAAATTACATCGAGGGTCTTTGCAAATTGACACTAGCCATGTCTTTAGATGCGGTAAGTTTTTCAAAATTTCCTCTTTTAAATAAAAGTGGAATCCCACTGACCTTAACCTGCGCGTTTAAATACATTTTTAGAATATTAACGTATGTGCTAATGAAACCTCTGGTGTTTATCTTGATCAACCTGGATACTGTCGTAATTTCTATATTTGCAACCAAAATGAAGCTTATCCACAAGTTTGCGATGTTGGAAGTCGCTTCAATTCTCCGACTAGAACATGCATACCAGACACTAACTCTGAATGTTGGCAAAATAAGTGTATTGGTGAAAATAATGGCACCTATTTGCCCAATGAATCTTCTTGTTCTTCATTTTATGTATGTGCTGCGGGCGAGACAATTGAACAAGAGTGCGGTAGTGGCAGCTATTTTAATCGTTCCAAAAGGATTTGTCTGCCTGATCCAGATGGACAGTTTTGCTGGGAGAACTTATGCGTAGGCAAAAAAGATGGAGAGTTTGTGCAAGATGTAAAAGATTGCTACAGTTATTACATCTGTGYTTCCGCAAAGCCAATCCAGCAATATTGTCCAGAAGGCAGTTATTTCAGTTCGATTGAAAACAGTTGTTTACCAGGCGAGTGTTCACCAGTTACAACCGAGTGTTCCACTACCGAGACAACAGAATCAACGACTGAATGCATTAGCGAAAGCACTGAATCCACGCCATCAACAGAGTGTACTGAAGTTGCAACACCTACTACTGAGACAACAGAATCAACCACTGAATCCACGCCATCAATAGATTGTACTGAAGTTACGACACCCGCTACGGAAGCAACTTGCGATTGCCCTGGTGGTTATAAGGAAGGTGAATTGATACCGTTCCCTAACTACCCCGAGAATTGTGACAAATATTATGAATGTTCGAACGGAAAACTTGAGCAGAAGGAATGCGGCGAAGGAAATGACTTCAATAGCACCTTAGGTGTTTGTGAACCCGATGTTGACCATATCTGTTGGCCAGTTGCCACTACTGAATGTTCCGAAGTTACGACACCCGCTACGGAAGCAACTTGCGATTGCCCTGGTGGTTATAAGGAAGGTGAATTGATACCGTTCCCAAACTACCCCGATAATTGTGACAAATATTATGAATGTTCGAACGGAAAACTGGTGGAGAAGGAATGCGGCGAGGGAAATGGCTTCAATAGCACCTTAGGTGTTTGTGA